ACAGTAACAGCCCCTCAGAAGCAAGATGGCAAGACTATCTCTCACATAGTATGGGCATGTTATGAGCAGGTACCAGTCCCTGGGGCAAGATGTTGTCTTGGTGAAGAGGAGGGTCAGAGAGAAAGAGGAAGACCCCCTAGGAGATGGAGTGACACAGTGTGACACAGTGACTGCGACTCCGGGCCCAGGCCTTGTTAGGTGACATGTGAGGACGGTGCAGGACGTGGCAGCTCTGTTCGGCTGCACCCAGAGCCCCTCCGTGCTGGAACCAAATCAACAGGACCTAAAAACAGCAACAGGCCTCTCCACCTTGTCTTTTAATCTTCCCAACAAATACAAGAACCCGAACCCTTCTGTAAGACTTAAGTTTGAAATAAATGAAGTGTAGTGGCTAAAATTCCCTCAGTTGTAACTCTCAGGATGCAGCGCCCACAGCCTTCCCTAACCCTGCCTGAGACGCACTGCTTGTAGACCAGGGGTGGCTGGATTGCTGTCTGCGTGCTCATTTAACTGAGGCCCAATCCCACTGCCATGAAATGTCCAGGGCACCGGCATATTGTGCTACTCTGAAGAATCCACATCAAAATTCTGCTTTAGAATTTCAACGATACTTGTTGATGAAAAATTTCCAAGTTCTTCTTTTGAAGGCGTTAAGTGGGAACACTGAGACGCAACAATTACCTTGAACATAGTACTTGGCTTTATCCGAAGTCCCCACTTTCCTGCTAAAGTGCGGGTCACTAGCTTTGAGCTGGCATATGTTGGCCCCCGTGCAGGAAGGGTTGGAGGAGCTGGTGATGGATGACAGCTGGATTTCATACAGGTACTTGTCCCCGTTGGCTCTTATGTCCCCAGAGGCGCTGAAGAGCCTGGTGGAGGTCATGTGGTCAGACTTCAAGGAGCGCAGACTCCCCTCCCCACATCACTGTAAGACCTCGCTCCCCCAGAGTCCGTGGCTGCCTCCATACCACCTCCTCCTGCCCACTATGCCACAGAAACAACATTCACAACCTCGCCAGCCCCAGTCTCTGCTCACACATTTTCTCGGCTTCCAGCTGAGGCTTATAACATAAGGTCAAGGGAGAAGAGGCACTTTATTTTTATACTCAAAGAGAATTCACCATCTTTGGTGTTAAAGCTTAATCGTGCCATAATGTTTTCTCTAGGTTGAAGAGAAGTGCAGCAACTACCCTGGCAACAGTAGCTCGAACACAAAGCATCCCTGCCCCAGAGCTTCAACCAGCATGAGATCTGAACTGCTGGACTAATCATGAATTCCGTTTCCGAGCGCAGAAGGGGTATCTCTGACTCACTTGAAATAGATGTCTCCCAAACTGAAGCGCCTGCCGCTGGCAGGGTTCAGGATGGTCCCGTTCACCATCTCCACTTCCTGGGGCTTCACCGCACAAGCAGCCCGGGTGTCCCAAAGGAAGTGGTAGGTGCAGCTGTCGATGTCAAACCTGGAAGGCAGGCAGCAGGGACAGCCCTCAGTCACACTCTGCCCAGCACCACGCCGAGGGAACGCTTCCCTGACAGCACCTCGCCACTACGAAGCGAGCTCGCCCTGTGACGTGGAGCGATGCTCTGAGGATCCCAGTGAGATGGGTGGCCCTGACACCCCACCCTCCCAGGAACTCTGTGTAAACCCTTTCCAGTGTCCAGTGAGTGCAGCCCATATGAAGCTTCCAGAACAGTGCAGAAGACAGCTCTGGGTTTGCTGCTAGCCACCGTAAGGTCTGCCCTGCACGCGGTGACCCTCTGCATGGTGACATGACCTGCAGGGGTTTCACGGGCTGAATTCCAGGAGCAGACCCCTGCCTTTGTTCCGAGTCTATCCTAGTCTGGAGGCTCTAGAGCTGACACCGCTCAGCAACACACACACACACACACACACACACACACGCGCGCGCGTACGTCTCCACTGACGAGCATACTGGCCAGGAGTCGAACCTGAGTCTCCCTCACGGAAGACGGGTTCTCCACCATGGAGCCACTACGGCCCAGGCTGAGGCCTAGGAACTTCCAGATTTCTCAAACCTTGTAAGCACCAACAGGCTGAGGTGTGCTCCCAGATGTCTAAAGTTTTGTTTCACAAGCTTCTCAGGCACAATAAGGGACGAAATCCTTTGACAATTAATCCCCAGGGCTCCCCTTTGGAGCCCAGAGGTTCGCTCACAGACATCAGCTCACATGTGCCCTCTGTTGGCCAAATTCCCCCTAGCACCTGGCACTGGGCTGTCTGGAGAACCCTGGGGAGATCAATCACTCCAGGTGAGGACCCCACCTGATCAAGGGCCAGGAAGGCTGGCCTCTGGGGCCACTGGTCTACACCCCTGGAGCCCGCTGTGACTGGGACAGACGGAGGCTAGCTGAAGACGCACTGTGCTGGGCAAGGAGGAGTGCACTAAGTCCAGTGAGGGCAGGACGCTGCTGGACTCCACCAGCAGGCCTAGTGTCGCTGCACCTGGACTGACTGCCCTTTGTGGACATTTGCTCTGCAGCAGCCCCGTGGTGAGGAGGCCAAAGGACATCGCCTTCCGGCACCCCGGGCTCACTTTGTGTCTGGGGGGCACTGGGTCATTCTCCGGGAATCTCACCCTCTGACCAAGCCATCATACCCTCACAGACCACTCTTTAAATAGGTCTTTTCTGTGCATGTGGAAATCCCGCCGTGACTCACTTCCCACCAGGGGTCTGGAACCCACCTGCTCGAGGTGTGTCTGTACTGACACGCCTCCCCAGCGGAGTGTCCCTGCAAAGTACACCTCGGTGCGGGACGCCCAGGCATCCCCACATCCTCGCCAGCTCACGAGTGCAAACCCCCGGGTGAAAGTCCCACTGTCATCCTCGGACGCCTGTCCTCCCACCTGTCCAGCATTGGCTTGCCCACTGTCTTCGCGCACGTCAGCTCGATCACCGAGGACGCGGTCTTGTTTTCACCGCACTGATAGCCTTTCGTGTAAGTGATGACAATTCGACCGTCTGAAATGCACAAGTTCCAAGTGAATATTACCCCAGGGGCATCAGAGCCACGACGTCACGCGTCACAACTCGCACTGGCCGGGGCTACAGAATCTGCTCTACAGATTTAAAGGCCTCACTTGGATTCACTTTCCCCAGCAGCACCAAGAGTACCACTCAACGCCCAGTGAGGACTTCAGACGTGCTGTGAACACGCCAACTTCCTCCCTGGAGGGCAGATTCTCCCCGCGGCCACAGAACCCATTTAAATATGTGACCTCAGAACACATAATGCCGTGCATGTTTTTAATGTTCCAGGAGACAGTCATAGGCAGACCCGTGGAAGCGTTCTCCCAAAGCCTAGACAAAGCCCTACTGCCCTGAGGACACCCCCATGCCCCGCACCCCTCCCACAGACCCCCCCCGACCAGGTGTGCCCTTACCCACTACATCCAGCTTCTGTGTGTGAACCAGCCCCAGCGCCTGGACGTGGCCAGAGGCCGTCCTTCTGCAAATGCTAGCTCTGTCCAAACAGTCGGAGGGGCCCTTGTGCACTTTCTGACACAAATTGATATAGTACCTAAAAGAGGATGGGGATTAAGGAGGAAAGCAGGTTAAGACCCTGATAGAATACCTGTAAGTGGAGAAGGGTAAGGAGGAGGAAGGCGGAGAAGACGGAGAAGATGCTGATGGATATATAGGAGGATGGGGGAAGGGAAGGCCCCGACAGAGAACCTATAGGAAGATGAAGGGGAGGAATCTCAAGGGTTAAAGCTCAGGAAGGAAGGCTGGAGGTGGGGCGGGCAGTGGTTGAAACCCTCAGTACAGATGTGCCTTCAGGAAGTCACACACACCCTACGATTCCACTCTCCCCTGCAGCATGGACTTAACGTGCCAAGAGTGGAACCTACACTTGGAGCCATTATTGGAACCAACCCAAACTGCTGCAGAGCCGGCAACCGGCCAGCGCTCCTGTCAAAGTTAGCCAATGCCCACAAAGCCAACCCACGAACTCCCACAGACAGGATTCTCTGGGTTCCACTCAGGGTGAATGAACGGCCGAGCTCTGGCCTCCCTGGTTCCCCGGAGCCCACCCTGGCACCGTGCCATCCGAAGAGCCTCCAGTGCCCAGGGCCTGACCCTCGGGATGGCTCCTGGGAGGACTGTCCCCATCGAAGCTGCGTGACCCTCTATTCCTGACTGAGGTAAAACGCCACACTGTAAGCCAGCGAGTGCCTCGAGCCCCCGTCACCCTCTACGTCTGTGAAGTGGCAGGTGAAGGGGACTCACGAGTCGCCATCATGGACGAAGGACCAGGAGCTGGTGAGAGACGAGAGCAGCCGCAGGTCATAGGTCTTGTGCTGATGGACAAACTTGCACTCCATCTTCTTTGGAGGGCAGACGACTTTAGTCTTCCACTCAAAGGTCACCTCACACCCACGGACCTCGCTGAAGACCTGGGGCCATCCAATTTCCATGTCCTCATCACACTTGAATACGATCGTTGATGTGCGGTGGCTGTTGGCTGTGGGGACGAGAGAGAGGGGTCCAGACAGGCTCAGAACCTGGTCTCGGGCTCAAGGCTTGGCTTTCCTATTTACCAGCTGCAGTCAAACGAGCATCAGGGGACATTAGCTGCTTCAGCTAAGAGTTAATCACCAAGACACCTTTTTTCCTATGCATTCCCTGTTCTAGATGTTTCACGTGGATGGAACCGTACAGTATTCATCCTTCTCTGTTTGACTTATTTCACTCCAAATCTTGTTTTCAAGATTTATCACGCTGCCACGTGCCTTGCTACTTCATTCCTCTTTACAGCTGAGCATCTAATGACAGACTTGATGGCATCTAACAATAGTCCTTCTGCAGAGGCAGCCATGCTGGCCCCCGGTCCAAAGACACTGGCATGCAGACCCTGCCCCTGGGTGAGGCCTGGGCCCGGCCGACACCGGCACCCCAATCCCAACCTGGCTTTATGTCGGCCACCTCTACGCTTACACATGCCCAGGTTTTTGGTTTATAACACACTCACGTAAATCTCACACATACACACTCACTCACTTAAGCTGCGTAAGTGGACACAGGAAGCTAGTTTACAAAGGAGTAATATGGTTTGTAAAATTCACATAAAGTGTGTGTTGTTAACGAAAAAATACAGTATGTCTCAGGTAACAATTAAAAATGCCCTTTTGCTGGAAAAGAATCCTAATAAGAAAATTAAGTATATGAAGGTGTCAATTAACTGCATGGGAAAGCACGTGCAAAGGAAGCGTTGGCCTTTGTCTGGACACTGAGGCCTGGAGTCCCTCGTCTCGGGGTTGCTGGGCAGCGTTCCGGGCACCCCCTTCCCCACTTACAGTGCTTGCAGAAACCCCACTGGTGGTCTCGGTCGTAGTTGGCGGTGGTGGCGCACCAGGGCCTGGGCCTCACCTCCACGGCACACTCCTCATAGCTCTTCCCGTTGAAAATGAACGGGAAGACGCAGGGCTCGCCAATTTCCGTTTCTGGAGGGAAGACGTGAATGGTGCGTTAGCTGTGTGCTGACACAACATGCCCCAAGGACCCCGGAACTGGCCAGCCACCCGCCTGAGCCTTTCAGGAGTGAGTCCCCGGCCAGTGTTCTGACTGCTAGGCGGTGCCTCCTGGCAAAAATGGTTCCTTTGGGCCCGCTTCCCCCAGCCCCGCCCCGGGTCTGTTAGTATTTTCTAGAAGCCTTGCCTGGGGGGCAGTTGTCACCGTTGACGTAGCTAAGGATCACAGCCTCGTCCTGGTGTCTGTAGTCCAGCCGCATGGAGGCCAGACGCCCGAAAGAGGCCCCCTTGCTGCTGGAGAGCAGACAGACGCCGCCGTCCTTACAGCCACCCTGGTCCACGCCGGCAGCCGCCGTGCACACTCCCACACTGTACGTGCGAGAGCCTCGCGACACCTAGACAGACAGACACCAAGTCATGCTGGGAATTCTGGGAAGGACTGTGGGATCACGCACGGGCTGACGCAGCCATCGCCACTCCTGTCCCCAGGTCTCAAGACCTCGTCTGAGGAGCGTGTAAGAGGGGTTACCTGGGCATCACAGATCTGCCACTGAAGAGTCCACATCCCCCTGCGCCCAGGCTCCCCATCACCCCTCCAGTGAGAGCAGTGAGCGAGCAGGATACCCAGGCCTCAGGCCTGCTGTGGAGGCCACAGGAGACCCAGGGCCATGTCCACCTACCTGAGGTCCCCGTCCCTCACCTGCACCTGGGGACTGTCGAGACTGAGTTAATGAACAGTGTCGATGCCAACAGCCCCTCCTGCACCCCCCTGGTCCCCTGCCAGACCCAGACCCACTGGGCCCACCTGTCATGAGAGGATGGGTGGGAGGGGCCTCTTTGAAGAGGGGGAGGGACCCCTCTGCAGGGAGGTAGGGGCCTCCCTTACACGTGCAAGAGAGCTGGTCTCAGAATACAAAGTCAGTGTGCACTGGCCCTAGCCACTGCTGTCCACAGGAGCGGCTGGGACACGGGCATGGCTGCACAGAGATGACCTGGCCTGCTGGCCTGCGGTCTCACAGTCCCCCCCAGCACAGGTGACCCATGATCAGGGTTCACAGCAGCCTGCACACACAGAGAGGCCAGCGTCCAGCCACATGTTCCCACTGTCAAGTCTGGGAGGCAGAGGCCGGCCTAACCAAGGCCTGCCGGGTGGCCAGAGACCCTGGCTACTCCTTCCAGAAGCCAGGCTGGAGAGAAAGGGCGCCCACAGTCCCTCGCTCCCATACACTGACCGCAGGCAGCTGCGGGATAGGCTGGGGCAAGCGGAGGCCACAAGGTGAAGGCTGTGACACAGTCCAGCGAGGCCTGGGGCAGGGATCCTCAGTGATTACACACACACACACACACACACACACACACACACACACACACCCCCACACACACACACCCCCCACAAATCCTCAGTGATCACGCACACACATCACGAATCCTCAGTGATTACACACACCCCCACTCCTGGGGAGGACGCACCCACCCGCCCCCACCAGGCTCAGGCCTCCGGTGTTCCTGGGCCCCCCGTGCTCTCCAGCAAGTACGCCCACCCGAGTGGGCACTTCCCCAAAGCCCCACCTGCAGAGACCTACAATCCTGAGCTTTGACCTTAGGGCTGCAGTCAGCGGCAGTCTAGAGCCGGAAACGCCGTGCCTGCAGAGGCAGCACCTGCGCTGATGCTGGTGACCACAACCCCAGGCCATCAGGCAGAGGCGGACCTGAGAGGATGCTGGTTATCACCACCCCAGACGCCCGGGCAGAGGCAGCCCCCGTCCTGACACTGGTGACCACCCCCAGACGACCAGGCTACGAGTGTGAGGACCACAGTGCCCGCACATTGCGCCACCACACTGTGGGCCCGCTACCTTGAAGGTGCTGGTGGACAGGCTGGACAGGTTGAAGCTGTAGTAGAGCTGCTCGTCCGTCAGGGAGCAGCCCTCGGTCTGCACGTCGTCGGGACACACGAGCGGGGTCTCCCACCCGAACAGGAAGTCGCAGTCGCTGGCCCGCAGCAGCTTGGGCGTTCCCTGCGGTGAAGGGGAGCAAAGGCCCTCACAACCCGGAGCTCCAGCGTGTGGCTCACACCGTGTGATGCAAGCTGGCCATGTGGTGGGTGCTCTGCCCACCTCCTCCCGGTGACCACGCTCCACACCAGCGCCCTTCAAGAGAGCCGAGGCACCCGTTCCCAGCACCCAGGCGGGAGGTTCTGAGCAAGTCCCCACACTGGCTTCACCGGGTGGGGCGTCCTCCAAGAGGGCAGAGGCACCCATTCCCAGCGCCCAGGCAGGAGGTCCTGAGCAAGTCCCCACACTGGCCTCACCGGGTGGGGGAGTCCAGCACAGGGGCTGCAAGGAACCCAGGCCTCCCTGCCTCCCTCTCACCCACATACACTCAGGAGGCCCTCACTGTGCCCCTCTCAACATTTTCCTTAAAGAGGCAGAGACAAGGACAGACAGCAAGACCCATGTTCCATGCCACTGTGCAGACGAAAACCCACCAAGGCATCTGCTGCCGGGAGTCAGCCTTGACTTGTGACCCCAGATGCGTGTCAGAGCAGAACTGCGCACCAGGGACTTCAGAGGCTGACTCTTCAGAACCAGACCACGCTCCCAGCCCCCCAGCCCCTCACGACCATGAGAAGCCAGGCCCGTCCAGTGTGAGCCCACCACACTGTGCCCCTGTGGGCTCACCGGCACTCGCCTGGGTGCACTGCCCGCCGTGCAGGCCCAGGCCTGAGACCCACCACCCACCCCGCGGCCTGTGGACGGCGCCGGGCAGGCTCACCATGCTCACGCCTCTCTTGCAGTGAAAGGTGATGACGGAGGTGTAGTTGACACGTCTGTCCTCTGCACAAGGCGTGGTGCTCTCAAAAGACATGGACACTTCGTTGGTCGTGGGGTTGAGCGTCGGTGGCCCTGTGACCCGGCCAATGTCCTGAACAAAGAACACATGGGAAGAGGTTTCAGGAATTTAACGGTGGCCAAGGTTAGCGGACTCCTGGGCTGCTGTCACGAAGACTTCACCACAGCATTTCTGAACAGAGAGGCTAAAAAACAGTGTGAGTGGACACAGCTGAGTGTCGTTTGACCCTCGTCCCAAAGCCACACGGAAGTGTCAGGACACGGGGTCTGAGCCCTGAGGCCGGGGACCATCCCCTATCTCTCCTCTGTTTTCAGTCTCCCACCCTGCAGTGCTCAGCGCCATGACTGTGGCTGGAGGAGCCTCCTTGTCCCCCCACACCATGCAGCCTGCTGCCCTCCTAGCCCCGGGCCAACACTGTGGGCTCCTATGTGGCCCAAGGCGGGCTGCTCACTGTCCCCCTGTGTGCTCAACACTGCACCCAGCACAGTGACTGCTCAGGATGCAGGAGACCCCTAAAGAACGGAGGGGTGTGTGCACTCGGGGGGGCTGACCACCCTTCCTGCCACTTAAGGCACAGACGTCTCTATTCGCCATTCAGTCCTGGGACTCTCGGCACAAACAAGAGATATGTCCCCAGACGTGCAGACACAGGGCTGCCAGCTCAGTCTCCAAGCAAGTCATCCCTGGCTGTGGACACCCAGCTCCCTCCTCTGAGACCACGAAACACAGCAGGGACGCCAGTGGGAAGGGAGGCCAGTGCTCCACGTCTTGTCAAGTGAGTTCCCCGTGTGTGTGTCCCACACTTACGATGGGGTTCCCGTCGACGGGGACTTTGCACACAGCTGCCCCGGCGGGACATGCCACGCCGTGGATGGGGTTCAGGGGCTGGCAGATGTTGATGTAGAAGTCAGGGCTGGTGTCAGAGGTGTCGTCCTCACTCTCGTCGTAAGCCTCGTAGACTCCCGTGCGGTGGATCAGGGGCGACAAGTCGATGATGGAGCTGCCGTTCTTCACAGAGCATTCCATCTGTCGAGTGGAAAAACGCTGAGTGAAGTCCACTGTGATATGTCACTGACCACCACCAAGTGGCCCTAACAAAGTTTACAGAGGCCCTGGAATGATGCACACACCTGGCATACTCAACTACTAACCAGAAGGTTGGAAGTTCAAATCCACCCAGTAGATTGCTAGACTTTTCTTCTGAGGTGGATGCCTCTGGGTGGATTAGAACAACCCCACAGAGCAAAGCTCTCCTCTGATTCACACAGGGAGGCGTGAACTGGCACAGACACCATAGCAGAGGAGTCAGCTGGCTGGTAAGAATTTAAAAAGCAAAGAGCAGACTAATGGCCCATGATGTTTTGCTTTGTACCACTGGAAGGCTTTTACCCCTTTATCATTGGGATAATCAGGGTGCCGGGAACCCTGGGAACGCCCTGTAGGCGAGCGAGCCACAATGGTGTGGGAGCCTGGGACCCAGGACTGTTCCCTCAAGTGCTCTCAGCTCAGAGCTCCAGGCCTGGCTGCCCCTTCTCAGTCAGGAGTGGGGGGCCAGCCTGGCTTTCTCAGCTCAGGGGCTAGGGCTCGTCATGTGTCTCTCCGCTCAGCCTGCGTCCGTCACAAACTTACCACTTGTTCGCAGGCCAGTGGAGTGTGCCAGGAAAAAAAGAGGGTGCAGGTCTGCTTGTCCAGAGAGATGAGCATGGGCTGGTTGGTGGGCCCCACCTCTGGCCGGCACACGAAGCTGATGACGCTTTTGTACCTCAGACCCAGCTTGGAAGGACAAGGGGAGCCCTCCTCATAGACCAGCTGCAGCACCTGGTCCACGTAGGTAAGCCTTCCGTTGGCCTGGCCCACGCTGATCCTGGTCTGTCCAAAGCAGGCACCTGGAGCACAAAGACGGGGCAGCTCAGGGCAGTGGCAGCCAGGCTGATTGTCACGGAGGAGAGAGTCCCAGGAGACACACAGAACCAAGCACTACAAACGGCCAGACTGGTCGTGGGAAATCTGACACATCCACTGTTCCATCTCAGCCTCCCCAGCTCAAGAGCAGAGCTTTTACCCCCGTGTTCTACCTGCCCATTTTGTCGGAATAGTTGGAGAGACCATCATCATACAGCCAGGCCCCACACCAGGGGAGGTCAGGGCCCCCCACACTCACCCACCCTGGGGAGGTCAGGGCCCCCCACTCACCCACTCCGGGGGAGCAGTTCTCGTTCTCCCCACAGACGCTCATGTACACCAGCCCTTTCTCGCTGTAGGCCGCCGTGTAACCAGCTTTGCTGATGAGGGAAGTCAGGTCAAAGAGGTGGCCTGTGGGGGACAGAAGCGGGGACCCCGTTACCCCAGGGGAACTGCAAGGAGACCAAGCCCCACTGTGTTCACATGGACCTCAGCTTGCCGCCAAGACTTCCAGCTTCTCACGGCGACTCACTGACTCTTGTACTGACTTATCACCCTGCTGCTGGAGGTCAATCTGGCCTCGTGGCGACCCCGCACATCAGAGTAGAACCAATCTGTGTCCTATGGGCTTTTCTCGATTGATTTTCACTGGCGCAGACTGCCTGGTCTTTCTTGTGCAGCACCGTGGGTTCACACTGCCGACCTTTTGGTTAACAGCGGAGCACCCGCTGCGTGTGGCACGGCCAGCAGGGTCGGCCGCCCACTGGGGTCTCTCTCCTGCGGGGGGAGGACTGTGTGACACGCGGAGCGGGGCCAGCTCTCACCTGTGGTGGGGTTGGTGACCTGGCAGTTGTCATGTATGCTGCTTCTCACAGGACAAGCCGCGGCCGTGGGCCAGGAGAAGGTGTACTCGCAGTCCTCCACCGCGCTGACAAACATGGGCCGGGACCGCTGGTCAACACAGAGACGGAGGGAGCTCCTGTCAGGGGGTCCGCTGACCTGCAGTCGCTCCAGCCTCCCGCAAAACCACCCAGCACGGACGTTTCCCCTCAGTGTATTCACAGGGGAGGGGCGCATTCAGGAGAGAAAAGGGTCAGCATGTGTCTCTGAAATACCACAAAACAGGGGACCAGGAAGGTTTTCATGGGACAGGCGGGCAAAGAGGTTACTGAAGAAATAGCCGACAAAATCCTGAAAACCAAGCCAACCGAAACCCACAACAAAGAGCCCCTCGAACAGACAGCAGGTAACACAAGGAGCTGTCCACGTGGTGGCCCCGTGAGCGTCTCTGCACAGAAGTGGCCGGCGCCTTCACTCCTTCTAGATAAATCTGTGCCCCTTTGCTGCTGACTGGACAAACCCGAGGGGTCACGATGCCCTCGTGGGGACACTGGTGTCCCTTAGGACCTCTCCCAAACCTCTGCCTCCCCTTCCCTTTCCTCCATGAGCCTGTCAGGCACTGACCTAAGAAAGCCCACCAGGCCTGGCCTCCGGCCCGCAGACGCTCTACAGCAGGACCAGGGCGTCACCTACCACTTGGTTTTTACTGCAGATGAAGCGGATGGTGGTGGACTTCTTCCGAATCTGGTCTGGACACAAGTCCCCGTCCACATACTCCAGGACAACAGCTTCGTCTTTCCACTGAGGGCCGTCCTTCACGCGCCCGAGGTTCACACTCTTGGAGTTGTTCAGCAGACAGACGGCCGACTCCAGGGGGCAAGGCTCTGCAACACGGGGGCGTGACCATGGTCACCCGGTGGCGTTCTGAGGAAGGACAGGTGTGCCCGGCTCCCGCCTTCCTGACAAAGGCGGGGACCCCAAGGAGCAGCGGTCTAAGTTCTTTCTGAACCCCAACATGAGGAACCCAAACTGTTGAGGTGAAGCCAAACGTCTCAGTTCATACGAAGAATACCAGCAAATAAAAATGAGTCCCAAGCCCAGAAAGGTCCGTGAGGTGTTGGGTGAAGTACCCAAATTCACAATCCCACCTCACAGTGTGAGTGATGCTCCACCAAGCCACCCTCACACCACAGTGTGGGGACCGGGCCCGTGGTCCTAACCCACAGCACAGAACACACAGCCACGTTCTCCAGACAGGCAAGCTGTGGGGGGGCTGCCTGAAAGCCCAGGAACACGGACCAGTTTGCTCTTGAGCACTGCACAGAGGTCCTGGGCAGCACTGCTATGGCCGGTGGGGTCTCAGAAGACCACGCGTCCAACCTGAACGCTCCCTCTGCAGTGGCGCCGAGCATGCTAGTGAATGCTGCTTGGAAAGGTCACTCTCGCAATACCAGGAGTGGGCAGACCTGCTTCCTGCCTTCCTGTTCTCCATGCTAAGAATCAGTCACCATCAACTTCACATCTACTAACCTCACCCACTCATGTTCAAAGGGGCTGGAAGCCTGACTTTCTCAGCAGAACCTATAGCACTGACTCGCCAAAGATCAGTCACTAAGGCCCTTTACGTGCTTCCTTCTGTGCCTTGGCCAAAGCGTCTGCGTGTGGCTGAGAGCAAGGCCTCGGCTGCCTCTCCCTTGTACCCCATCTTTGCCTCCAGGGCTGCTGCGTTTCTCACCGTTGCCAGGCTGCGGAGACAGGGACTTGCAGACGTTGATGAGGTAGTGCTCGGTGGCCCCTGTCCTCGTGACCGCTTCCCAGTTGTCGCTGTATCTTGACAGGGAGGAAAGGTCGAAGGAGTTTCCAGCTTCGTCTCTGATGGGAAGAGAAAGCCACAGTTAGAACGCTGCATTTGGTCAGTTTCTGAGTTAGTCTGATTCTGAGTCCAAATGAGGACCGAATGCGGACGAAGACCTCAACTTGACGCCCTTGTTTCAACACAGCCAACTTCAGGAGGAACTAAGTCACAGATAAAAGGAGTTCAAAGAACAAGAGAAAAACCACGGAAACTAACATTAGGCATGCCGCCTCCTTCCCGTCGCTCCACGCACTCCCACCGCCCCACTGTGGCCTTCCACGTTGGAAATCAGTCTTCTTTATCACCATGATCCCAGAAACACATGTCTGAGGGGGAGATGGAAGACCGGAGGGGCCCTGGCCCAGCCTGCTGCATTCAGACTTTGAGGAGTGCAGGGCCTGACTTATCTACTCTGCTCCCGTCACCCACCCACACGAATATTTTCTTCTTTAAATTGTGGTGTTGAGTGAAAATTTTCTATTCAACAATTGACACGTTTTATGACATTCCTTACAACCCACTCATGTCCACTTTCTACCTGAGTTAACCACTTCCACCCGCGCTGCCTTCTAGGCTTCCAGCTGGGCAGATGCTGCCCTTGGCCTTGGACTGCTGAGTCATGAGAGAAGCACGTTCCTCACAGGTACTGCGGCTCACTTTAGAGGTCTAGCCATGTTAGGGCTGAAACGTGACCTCTGGGGCAGGCTTGTTTTGGTCTGGGGAGTGTCTCAGGGCCAAAATCTTGGGGGGGGGGGTTCCACCAATCTCTATCAGACTCACACCTATCCTGATGCTGAGTAATTAACCTCAGAAGGCTGTGAGGGGTCTGGAAGAAGTTAAAGAATCTAATCCCCTCACATTTTCTTTTTTAGAAATTTTTAAAGTAATATTTTAATTTTTGGTGGAAATATACAACAAAATCCAGTTTTGTTCCAGTTCCTAGACTTAATGATCAGCGACACCAGCAACATTCTTCACTCTATGTCAACAGTCTCATTTCTCGTCCAGTTGCTTCACTCTAACTCCTTGCTCCTCGACATCTCATGTTTAAAATCGCTGTTAATCCCCTTCAATTTTAAGGCACTGAGACCAACAGAACTGAAGTGACAAATGGCCTGCCTTCCAGGCCACGAGCTCCGAACGCAGAAGCGCACGGAGGTGGCCTGGCCCTCCGGGGTCGACATGCACGTGAACTTACTTGAAGGAGCACTCGGTCATCTCGTAGGGAGGACAGGCGTGCTGCGTGCGCCACTCAAACAGGTAGGAGCAGTCGGAAGTCTCCTTGAGAAACACCGGCTGGAAAGGTGGGCACACAGGTGTCTCAATGAGAATCCAAAGCTCCAGGGAACAGGGCCACCCCCGACGGGCTCGAGAGCAAGAACTCAGTCACCTGTCCACACACCCTCCTTGCGGCACCGTTCACACAGTCAAGAGGTGGAAACCAGCCCTGTGTGCCCGTCAACAACGACTGGGTTAACGAAATGGTGTGTGTACATTCAACGGGTTGTTTGTTCACAGAGAAAGGAAGCCCCGTTACACGCTACAACAGGCAGGAGCTGAGAGAACTAAGTCAGACACGAAGGGCACGTGTCATCCGACCCTGCTTAGACGTGCTACCTATACTGAGAGGCAAGAGGGCAGAGTCAGAGGTGGGTCAGTGGTCACCGGGGAAGGGAGGCCAGCTGTGACTGCTTCCGAGTTTCTACTGAGCGGTGAAAAAGTCTTAGAAAGAAAAGGGCTAAAAAGGGTGCCACTTGTAGGTAAAATTTATGCCCAATGGTACACTTAAAAATCCCCAATGTAACATATAAACATCATATAAACACACATTGCTGTAATAAGGTAAAATGAACAAAGCCAAGGTTTTGAAAAATAAAAACCAAAAGTGTCAGGTGCCACTTTGTTTCAGAGATGAAGACAGTGGAAGACGTTTGCATTCAAGTCTATGTAAATTGATGAGCATTTCATTCTCTTTCCTGCAAACACTGTCTTTGACTCAGCAGACCCCCGGGGGCCCCAGCACCCCCTCACCTTCTGGGTGCTGCGGTCGCAGTAGAAGAAGATGGTTGTGGAGCGCTGGTACACCCGATGGCACATGTCCCCACCTGTGTAGTTCAGTTTTAACAGGCCATTTTCATAGGTCACTCTCTGGGAAAGGAGACCTGTTCCAGGAGAAATAAGCACACTGAACCGTGCTCTGCATACCCAGTCTGCACACAGCACGCGTGGGGTGCCGGCGGCCCGAGTGGACGTTCAGAGGGCATGGGGCCTGGCAGCCGGCACTGGACAGCCTGCCCTCCTCACCATTATCATGTAGGACAAATAAAACCACTTTTGTTCTCCCCGGGCTGCCCATTATGGACACACCTCAGGCTCCTACCAACTCCCTGCAAGCTCTACAAGTCTTGACCATGCTGGGAATGCCAGCTACTGTCCAAAGACCTCAAACTTACTGTCACCTTCAGCAATCTGACATGTGGTCAAATTCTGACATGTGGTTTTCAGGTCAAATGTTTTACCTTCACACCTCTGACTCAACGGTGCATACCACTACCCACAATGCACCAGGCTCAAGGCATCATTACTGGGTACTGCTGAATGAGGGTCGTGAGTACACGCTCGCTGACAACACTCCCATCCAGGTCCCAATGAAGAACATCAACACCACCGGGGGCATCACCAAGGTGCTGACCCGCCAGAATACGGCAGCTGCGTGTCCAGCTCAATGAGACTCTCTGGCCTGGCCTCCCAAGCGTGCAATCCCACCCCTCTGGAGCAGAAACCGAAGAGTCACGGTACCTGCCACTTTGTGAAAGCCCTGGGGTCCTTGCTTCTCCTGGCAGGAAGAGATCGCCCGGGACCTGTCCTGAGTCAGGCAGACGCCTGGGGAAAGCTGCCCGCAGACGCGGAAGTGGTAGATGTACTCTCCAGCGCTCACAACGGTGTCGTTCAAGCTCAGAGGCTTCAGGCTGTACACGTTGCCGTGCCTGGGGTCTCTCACCTCACAGTTGTCCCCTAAAACGGCACAGGAAGCACAAGGCAAAGTATCGTTACCCCCTCACACCTTGCACAAAGTGTCTGCTTTTCATTTGGAAAATACAACCTTAAAATACTTAAAACACCAAAAACAACTATGTGATACCATCTCACCCCAGTAAGAATAGCAAAATTTAGCAGAACAGCAAACAACAAATGCTGGCGAGGTTGTGGAGAAACTGGAAACCTCATTCACTCTTGGTGGGAGTGTAAAATAGTGCAACCACTGTGGAAGGCTGTATGGCGCTTTCTCAAAAATTTGCAAATAGAAATACCACTTGATCCAGCAATTCCACTACTGGGAATATACCCCAAATAGACCAAAACTGCCACCCAAGCACATATATGCACACCCATGTTTACTGCGGCTTTGTTCGCAATAGCAAAGAGCTGGAAACAACCCAAGTGCCCATCAACAAACGAATGGATAGAGAAGCTCTGGTATATTCACACAATGGAATACTATGCTGCATTGAGAAACAAGGAACTCATATTATGCAAAATGGATGACCCTGGAGGACATTATGCTGAGTGAAGTATCTCAGTCACAAAAGGACGAATATTGCATAGGGCCACTGTTGTAAAATGAGACTGACATTAGGGTTGAGGGAAGACAGAAAAGGAGGGGAGGAATGATGTATACTGCATTGAAACAGATGAGGGAGAGAACTGTTTAAAAGGGGCATATGAATGGGTATTCTTGTCATTACAGAAGTCCAGAGTGAAGGCTGCATAGTGCAGTGGACTTGGGGCGAGGGATTGCATAACAATGAAAGAGATTTTCTTTTCAAGGAGAAGAGTGAATTGGGGGAGAGGGGGTGGGCAGGGAGAAAAGTGCAACAATGAACGACTGGAAACCCTAAGTCTCTGTAAACTTTCCATGAAATGAATTTTAAAAAATTGCTTAAAACACAGACATTTCCAACACTGGTATATTTCATCTCCATATAACACTGTTGGCTAAGTGCACCAAGTGCTGGGCTATTGATCAAAAGGTTGTGGGTTTGAACCCACCAGTATCTCTGTGGAAGAAAGATGAACCATCAGCTTTTCTAAAGATTTACGGCTTCAAAAACCCCACGGGACAGTTCTAGGCTGTCCCGGGGGTCACCGTAAGTCGGAATCAAGCTGAAAATAGTAGGCTTTGGATACATAACGCAAACTGCTTGACAAAGAGCTTTCTAGAAGAGCACGGGACGCGGGATAAAGATCTACTTTATCAAACAAGGCAACACAGGGCGCCACATCAGTGCTTCCCAGTCATCACTGCCACGTGAGGGACATCGCCCCATAAGATCAGCAGTGCAGCTCGGTAAAGAACGCATGCTCTGCCCCATCCATGTGGCCACCTCCACGAGGTCCCCTATCAGAACGAGGGCTCAGAGTGCCTGCCATGTCACACACCCAGAGTGACCACCACAGACTAGTGGTGGGACTCACCCTCCACTCGGACCACGGGGCAGGCTTCCACTGTCCTCCACAGGAACACATACTCACAGTCATCCAAGGATTGGAACACCGGCGAGCCCTGGAACACAGAACAGCAAGGCCATGCTTTCCACACAGAAGAGATCAGCCAAACAAGAGCCACAAATAGAACCCGAGTGTTAGTCTCTGGAGCAGAACGTTGCTGTTAGTAGCCCTGGAGCCAGCCCTGACTTGGGAGGTCACGACCACCACAAGACAAAAGGCCTCCCCAGGACCGTGCCCAGTCACAAGCAGCTGCAGAGCAGACCACTGGAGCCCATGGCACTGTCACTGCTGCCTTGCAGAAGGTGATGGTCAAGTTTTCTTCCAAGTCTGTCTTAGCCTGGAAGCTGCCCTGACATCTGTTCAGCCATGAACACACAGACATATTCTCAGAGAGGAGACTCGGAGACCAAGGCAGACGCGAGCTGGAAGCGTGCAGGCAGCCAAGCACTCACGTGATGCCTGGACACGTACCAGCGTCTGCGCACACTCGAACATGATCCTGGTGGAGTACCGCTGGTTGCCACACTTGTCCCCGTTGACGTACACAATGCTCAGGGACCCATTCCCTGCCACCTGTGGGCTGATCTGCACCACGCCCAGGTTCCAGCTGTTGTCGTCGGAAATCAGACAGGAGCCCATGGTGCTTCCTGGAAGACGAGGAGAGTCAGTCTCGGGGCCCGTCTGGACAGGCCCGCCAACGCCCGCCGACAGAGGCTGCAGTGAGGACGGCGCACCGTGGCATCCGGGAATGAAGGGCAGAGGGTTGCAGACGCTCAGGTAGAAAGTCCTCCTCTTCCCGTCCTCAGTCGTGTCAACGGCGGTCCAAGGCTTCCTCACTTTGCTCAAGCCGCTCAGGTCGTACTCGTTTCCAGCGAGGTCTGAAACACAGAGTGACCCAGGTAACCCACCGGTGTCCTCATTGGCTCTTCCAACCTCAGCTGGGAGACTGACGCAGCACACACACACACACACACACACACACGGGAGGCCTCAGAACTGAAAAGGTGGCCACAGGGAGACCCTGCAGGAGCACACGGTCACCTGCATCAGACTGTGCCAGGCCTCACAAGGGGCAGCCGCCGGGGACCAAGCCAGGCAAACTCAACAGAGGAAAGGGCTGGAGGGCAGCATGTTAAGTAGCCGCTTCCTTTGTCATTTCCCCTCCTCAATCAGCAGCTCTGGCCCCTCCATGTGACCCCCCCACCTCTTGAGAAAGCATTTCTCTCTGTGTGTTAAGTATGCAGCAGCTGGTCTACACACACACAGCTTTAGACCAATGACGGATCCTGAATCACCTCAGCAGAAACAACGTGACTCTATGTATTGACAAGCAGACAAGTGACTCATGTCACACTGCCTATAAAGGGGACACCAGTACACCGTCACCCTGCCCAGCACCCCAAGCATCTCTACCTGTGACCTGGCAATCCACCGGAGAGGGCACACACGCCAAAGCTGTCTCAAACTCAAAGAAAGTGTCATGGATGCCAAGCCCGGAGTCGATGTCTTGGTGCAGGAATCTGGGTGTTCCTGGGTAAATGTCATCATTACAAATGAAGCGGATGATGAAGGCATCGGCGGTACCTGTGGACGGAAGACCAGCCTTCAAGAACTGGATCAGAAGGCAGAAAGGCAGCCTGGGATGCAGCGTGCACCAACGCTGGGGCCACCACGACGGCGACCCACACAGCGGCACCGCAGACACCTAACACCTGGTGCCAGTTCTGCTTCCAGAGCCTCGGCTTCAGCGACAGACTGGCCAAATTCAGGGCAACAGCCATCTACCGACGGCCGTGTGCTGGGAGAGGACGGCCCAGCGCCTGGATTCTTCCAGAAAGGGCTCAAGGGGAGCAACAGTTTCTTGAACATGCGTCAGAAAACAAGCGAGCGTCATTTGTTCAAGATCGCTGCCATTGAGTCCCTGCCCACGCCAAGGGTCTTGGAGAAGTGCTCTGCTCCACAGGGTTTACCAGAGAGGGAAGGGGGGCGGGGGAAATGGGGGAAAAGAGGGGAGGAGGAGGGGGGAGAGAAGGAGGGAGAGAGAGGAAGGGGGAAGAGAGGGAGGGAGCGGAGGAAAGAGAGAGAGGGAGCGTCATTTGTTCAATACTGCTGTCATCGAGTCCCTGCCCATGCCAAGGGTCTTAGAGAAGTGCTCTGCTCAGCAGGGTTTACCAGGGCGGGAGGGGGTGGGGAAAAGAGAGAGGGAAAGAGAAGGGGAAGAGAGAGGGAGGGAGGGCAAGGAAGAGAGGGGGACAGGGGGAAAAAAGAGGAAGACATAGAGAGGGAAGGGGGGAGAGAAGGAGGAGGGAGAGAAGGAGAAAGAGGGGAGGGAGAGAGGGGAAGGAGGGTAGAGAAGGAAAAAGAGGGGGTACTGAGAGGGGGAGAGAGGGGGTGAGGGAGAGGGGGAGGGAGGTTGAGCTCTAGGGTTGAGTTCACAGCTGGATTAAGGTCAGCGCCTGCGTAGAAGTTTTGGGGCTCCGGTGTCTGTGAGTGTCTTGGCGCCTGGTCGGGGGCAGCCCCCTGGAAGACACGCCCACAGAAAGCCCACATTGTCCACTCAGGAGCGAGCTGCACTCACTTCCGGGAGAGGAGAGCAGTCCCTTGTAGGTCAGCGTGATGAAGCCCTCCGTGGACAGCTGGAGGATCTTCTCAACACCGACAAGCCGTTCCGGTTTCAGGGTCTTCAGATTGTCCATCTGGGCTACAGCCTCGCAGCCAAAGGCTGGTTTCCCGTCCACGGTGCCGCAGACTGGCATGGCGCCACACACGTTCAACTGCACAGCAAACAGCATCGATCAGAGTGAGGGATTGGCCAGACACCCCAAAGACCAGCTTGCCAGGGTTGCATGGTTCAATTAATAAACAAGGCAGAAGAGGCAGAGTTCAGATTAAAAGGCCCATCAATGGCTTTAAAGCCTGGTCCACACGGTGTTACAGCCGTTGTGTATAATCACACCATCCGCACGGATGTGTGAATTCCACTAGATGGTGGTGGGAACTGGACTTCATTTTTTTCTCCTTAAATCTAGACCCTCTTGTCTCTGCTTAGTGAGCTGGATTATGGCGACCTGGACAATTCTGAAGGGTCCTGACAACACTGCCAGGCCCACAAGATTATCACTAGCTGTGAGGACAGTCGCACGTTCCCAACTCTTACCATGAAGGTCTTCCCAATGCCCGAGACCACGTATCCCTCGGAACTGTTAAGCGAGTTAAAGTTGAACACAAACCCGCTGTTGGGATCCCTTATAGAGCACGCCTGCAAGAAGTAGAGAGCAACTCGTTCACATCACCATCACGAGGACGCACTAAGCACACATCCACAGAACTGTGTGCGGCCTGCCTCAAAAAAGGCATTTCCTAAGAAACACTCATCAAGAATCTCTGGGTTTTATCCTAGCAAAACAGAAAGGCTGAGAAGAAACACACTGCGTAAGGCTGTGTCTCAGTGTCGGTGGACCGAGAACACACCTGAGTGAAGCCGCTTCCCAGCTCCCGGGGGTGGGGGGGCGCGCATGTGCTCGGAACTGCTTTTCCGACACAGCCCTGCAGAGCCCCCACAACAAGGGAGACCCTGAGAGGGAGGCATTCGATGAACCAGAGGCTACCACACGCTCCCACAGAGGCAGACCAAGAAGACTGTCAGGAACTGAAATGAGACCCTCAAAACACATGGTAGCAAGGGTGGGCCAGGGTGCCCACTGTGGCAGGCAGGAGCTGTGACCCACAGGCTCAATCCTCATCTGCTGTGAGGGATCCAGGACCTTAACGGGCCTCTCCGCCCGATGGGTGCTTCCCTGGGGTGTGGCCTGCATCATCTCGCATCAACTCTCCTAGGAGATGTATTTGACTTTGCCCTTGGGGCCGCTCAGCCCATCAGACAAATGTGGGCTGGAGGGTTGGGCAGCAGTCAGAGCCCCGGGAGGTGCTGGCTATGGGTGACATATGGGCGTCCCCTGCCCCAGGGGCCATGAGAACAGACCACTCTACTGGAACATTCCTCTGGCTAAGCCACATCCCTGCGACAGTCTGTAGTCTGGAAGATCTACGGTCAGGAGAGGCAAGCAAGTCCCAAGGTAAAGAACAAATGCTCAGGCCTGCCAACCACCCAGTCCCACAGGGAAGCCCTGGGACCTGTCTCATGTTTTGTGCTGCCGCGTTGCAAAGCTGTCTCAGTCTCCCATGGCTGGAGTAGAAAGGGGGCAGGAGGCCTGCAGGAGAGGCTCACTCCTTACGCACTTGAGCATCACGTTAGAGCAGGTTGTGTGCTCCACCTGACAGACAAGTGACAGGTCCTGGCACGCAGTAGGTGGTCAATGACACAGGGCTCTGTCAGGGGTCAGCCTTGACAGGCTCTGGGTGGTAAGTGATGAATGAACACATCAGGTCTGTCTTCGAGAACAAGGAACTCTGCAGGGTCAAGGGGAGATGGAAGGGACCCCGGAGGACTAGGGGTGGGGAGAACAGTGTGAGAGGTGAGGAGTAGAGAGCTGCAGACCTCTGGTGTCCACACAGAGGGCACAGCGACACGGCAACTGGCCAGGAAGCACTAGGAGGCTTCGAGTCCGGGCCCAGAACCCTAGAGAACGTACCTGGTCTGTGTCCGTGGTTGTCTGGATGGGGCAGGCCGCCTCTGTGTTCCACAGGAAAGTGACCACACACTCCCAGCTGAGAGAAAATATGGGGTGGGTGTTCTGGAAAAGTAACGAGCAGGACAAGAGTCACCATAACAGGATGGAATCCGATGGAAGCAGAGCGCTAACCTGAAGCTCACGCTCCCTCTCCCTACGATGGAAGCTCCCTCTCCCTATGCCGGAGGCTCTCTCTCTACAATGGAGGCTCCCTCCCCTATGATGACAGAGGCTCCCTCTCCCTACGATGACAGAGGCTCCCTCTCCCTACGATGACAGAGGCTCCCTCTCCCTACAATGATGGAGATTCCCTCTCCCTACGATGGAGGCCTCACTTCACACCCTTAGAGGCTAAGGTACAGCCATGCCAACAGAAAAGGGCAGACCAACCCCAGAGCTTGCTCCAAGCCCATGCCCTCCAAAAACACGCTGCCAAGAGCTGAAGGTCAGTAAGAACTGAGCTAAACCCATGCTCCACTGCCGTCCAGGCAGTTCTGACTCCCAGGGAGCTGCAGGACACAGCAGAGCTGCCCAGGGTTGACACAGCCAGGCTGGGAGTCGGTATAGAAGCAGGCTGTCTTTCTCTGTCCTCTGAGCAGCTGGTGATATCACACCATTGGTCATTCAGGCAGCATCACAGTGTTTAACTCACTGTGCCACCAGGGCTCCTGGGGCTAGACCATTCAGGATGTGTTGTGGCATTTCATTTCTGTAGACTTGACAACAGGCTACATGAATGTATGTGGAAGTTGGCAGGCCAGCCACGCTGGGACAAGGGCTGGGGAGTGACCAGAAGGGTGGTTTCGAGGGAGCTGCTGGTTTGCTTTTGCAAGTTGTATCCCAAGTGAATCAAGTCCTCCGTGTCGGGCTGGTTCTGAGTCATGTGTCACAGGTTAGAGCTGCTCCTGATAGCCTTCCTGGCTGGGAGCTTTCTAGAGGATAAAGATCTAACAACCAAGGAACCTCTCAGGGGTCATTCTACGGACTGAACACACCTAACGCAGCACAACCACAAACTCTAAAGGAAGAGGTCATAAGGCCTCTCTTATCTGCAGCCCCTGAGGCGGTTTGAACCACCAAACTTGAGGTTACCAGTCAATAGCAAACCACTTGCACCCGTTAGACTCCTTCTGGGTTAAAACTTCTGGTGGAAATCCATCAAGCCAAATGGGCCAGCCGGCAGTGGGTGTGGTGACGCAGCCTCTGCCCATCATGCAGTGAGGTTGCTGGGCCTGCACTGTGTACAGGGTGTGCTGAGAGGTAGTTACGATGTGATGGCGTAAAATGACTCTGAGGATTAAAGCCTGCCATCAACACGGTCTCTCAGAAGAGCCAAGGTACTAAGGGGCCACAGAACTCACTGGAACGATCCAGTATCTGAGGACAGTAGGACGGCCGAGATGGACAGGTGCGTGGAAAAGTGTATGAAGAGGGATGGATATTAAGTGCCCAGGGGTAGGGACTCGAGGCTGAGTGAGGGAAGTGGGTGCCTGCTGGTGGAACCACAGCACTCAAGATGTTTCCCGAAGAAAGAGAAATGAGGAGATGGAAGCCCAAGTTCAGGGCAAAGTCAAGGTGTTTATAATGCAGAACATGGTTGTACCCTGACACACGTATCCATCAGGGCTGATTCAACAGTGACAGGTCTTGGACTGGCTGGTGGAGAATTCTGAGTTCAGCTCAGGGATGTTATAAGGGACCTGGCCCCTCAGATACTTGATTTAATGAGCAGATGACTTCAGTGTTCCCATTCTGGATTTGCCCAGTGGATCTGAGAAGGCTATAAGACACGCCCGTGAAAACACAAGGCTGCGTGGAAGGAAACTGGAGCTGTGTGCTGGGCCTGCAGCCTTTTCATCCAGAGCCTTCTACCCGTCCTGCCCTGCCTGAGGGACGCAGGCCTTCACCTTCTGCTCTAATTCTTCTTCCCTGCTTTGCTGTGTCACACATCTGTCCTTCACGGTTTATCTGAGATGTGTCAGCTTCGGTGTCCTCCCCAATAAAGTCTACAGAGTTCGGACTCTAAGCCCTCCAGAAGGCGTGTGACGTCCGAACAACTCCAGGGGAACCTCAAGGCCACAGCCGCCCAAGCTGTGCTGGTCACGCACTGACAATGGACTTGGCAGGAAAGGGCTGAGAGGCTGAAGCGGCAGGCACAGCCCCCGGGAGCACCTCCACGGTGCTCCCTGCTCACCCTGCACCAGGAGAGGCTGATCCCAGAGTGGACGGCAGGTCAACCCAACTCCTCTGCCTCCTCTGGTACGTGTCCGAGATGAGGCCATCGGGGGCTCCGTGAGGAGAGCCCCGGGCAACGCCGTGCACGGCTGGCACCACCTACCAGGCTGCCCGGGGAGCAGATGAGGTGGATGCGCGTGGTGTAGGTGGTCTGCACGCCGTCGCTGGTCTTGCAGGCCGAGCCATTGACGTACTCGAGGAGAAGGCTGCCCCGGTCCTCGATCGTGGGACCCTCCTTCGAATAGCCTAGGTTACCGATGGAGACAACCTCGAAAGACATGCCCTGGGAGAAAGTGGGGCCCGTTAAGACTGTGTCCTGGGGGTGGGGGGGGGAACCAGACTCTCCTGCTGAGGGAAGGGGTGGACAGGTGGGGGCACCTCTGCACCTGCAGGGCCCCAGCTACTGGCCACCAGGGTGCGCTCTCCCACTTCCTTCCAAAGGCCTCCCCGGGGCCCTTGACCAGCCACGGCCGGGCTGTGGCACCCAGCAAGGCACTCTCAGAAAGCCGAGCTCTAGGGCATTCACCCTGAAGGGGCTGTAGGGCAGTGCCTGGACGTTCCAGCAGGAACGCACCCCTCTGTGGCCGGGGCAGCTCGGCACCCCCGGATCACACGTGCACCTGGACCAACACCACCCACGCCCACTCGCCCAAGCTGGCGTCCCTCCAGTGAGCCCAGCAGCAGAAATGACTTTTTATAGCTATCTGCTCAATCACTCAAAAGACACTTCTTAACCCAGGCGTCCTCTGTCCACTGCCATGATGCAAGGCCACTACCAGCGGGCATGCGGTTTCAGGTCCGACCCACGTGTGCTGGGTGCAGACTGTTTACACAGGCCCAAGGTCCCACCCAGGGCAGCGCCAGCTGCCAGGCGGCTTTGATCGGGGCTCCTAACACGGCCTCGGCCCGCAGGCTCACCTGCCGGGGAGGAGGCTCACCTGCTGGCGCCTGTACTTCATCTCACAGGCAGAGGCCATGCGGTCGCAGCCCGGCACCTGGTTGAGCGGCCGGCAGACGTTGAGGTAGTACTTTCGCCAGGTGGAGCGGTCCCCGGCGTTGTCCATGGCGTACCAGTTCCCGCCGTGGCTGTCTTCTGACTTGGCAAGGCTGCAATGTCAAAGCACGTTGGCAGCTGTCACAGCTGCAGTACAACACATTCCAAGGCCCTGGAGACACTCGGGTGTATTCAGGAGGTGGGACTGTTGACCTGATCACCAGAGACCCACAACACAGACCACAGACCGCAGGCCATAGGCCCTGGCTGTGAACCATGATGCTGAGGCTTCCAGTGACAGAGGGGCAGATGTCCGTGAGACCTGGGGCCCACTTGGGTCCACAGAACCCCAGCAGCACTTGGCACTCACTGGGGTGCTGGGGCTCCCTCAGCTAGGAGCCCCCCTGAACTGAAAGCACTGCCCACTGTCAGCAGTCCTAAACGGTCACCAGTACCGTCTTCAAAGCCTCAGCCCCCCCCATGCTGGACATGACCCCAGGACCCCGAGGAAGCCCCCCACCTGGAAAGGTCGTACTGCTCCATCGTGAAGGGGTCTGTGACGACGCACTCCAGGGGCTCCTCAGGGCAGGCGTGGCTGGTGTACCACCGGAAGTTGTAGGTCGAGTTGTCCTCTTCCTGATCACACACCGGGCGGGAGCCAGGGGAGGGGCAGCAGAGAGAACAGGAACATTTACACCCCGCGACACAGCGCTGTTTCCAGTAACAACCTTGTTCCCCCGCCAACATCAAATCGGAGAGGTAGTAAATAACGACATCCCCCCCGGAGGCTAACACCAAATCGGAGGGGTATTAACTGGTCACTGACACACACAGTGGACTCTCAGGGGGCCAGCGACAGGACAGCCTGTGCCGTGATGTGGATGAACCCGAGAGCACCATGTGCATGAGGTGGCAGAGACCGCATGATCCCCCTGACGGTGGCAGCCGTTACCCACCAGGCAGGGTGGCCGGGGGAAGGGCGCGAGGAGGTAAACTGAGGCTCTGTCAGGGGTGATGGGACCGGCAACACAGGGAGAATGAACACCACCACTCAACATAAACATGACAACAGCTGAAAGAGTAAATTTTTGTTATGCATTTTACCACAATATTGTGGGTTTTTAAAAGTTTCTTTTGCTCATCTTTAATGCCCAGGAATAAGTGAAGATGGAATCTGGGCCTCTGCTAAATAGAGCCGAGATGACTTTTGCTCTCTCTGTGTTCTGTACCCCAGAACTACCAGGCTTGCCCACTGGTGCTGAGGGGGGCTCATAGCACAGAACCGAAAGGAGCAGGACTCCGGCCCGGCCTTGGGAGGCCTGACGGGGGGTATGAGAGGAGAGGAGAGCAGACGTGTGAACACGCGTTCTTCTGACGTGTACCGGACACGTTGCCGGGATGGAGGGTGACTTCATAAACCTCCAGGACCATCACCGTGTACTAAGCCCCGACTGCAATAACCAGGTCACACGTTGGCAAAAGGAGGAGGCTTTGCAGGATTTCTCAGACGTGTGCACCTCCCTCCTGCCACATGCACGCACACACATCCCGGGCAGTGCCCACCTGGTACTCAGGAACACCTATGCCGGCTTCTCTGTCACAGAGGAAGGTGATAAGTGTAGCTCTTGGCGTTCGCTTTTCATTATTATAGGGTGCGCCGTCTTTGTAGTTCAGCTGGATCATTCCATCGTAATAGGAAAGCTTAGCATTGCTTAGACCCAGGTTCCAAACCTTGCTACTAAAACAAATAAACAGATGTCTCTTTCAGAAAAGATAAGGCCAGAAACACTTTATTGCTGTGATGTTTAAGGAAGGGCAAGGAGGTGGAGTTCCCAGGACCCAGGGTTCATACCACATGAGTCCCCAGGAAGGCGTTCTAAGGGGGCACCCCTGAGGCAGTGGGGGCTAAGAGGATTCTCACTTACAGGGCCCATGTCCACTCTCAACACTGCTGCCTCCAAGCACAGCCCACTCCCCTCTGCACTAGCACCACACAGAATGGAGAAACTTCTGTGTAACATGCGAGAAGCCAGGGCACAGGGTCTGGAGTGTCCTGGAAATCCACTCTTCTCCACGAACACTGCCTGCCCTCCTCAGAGGGACTCCCAGCACCCCCGGTGTGAAGGCAATTTAACGAGGTATCTTTGCCACAAAGGCAAAGATTTTAAGCGTGGACATACTCACTCCTGAATGAAATCTCTGTTAGCACAAAATACCTCAGCATGAGTCTGTGACTGAGAACAGTTACTTGCCTTTTTGCTACCTGGCAGGCTCCCGAGTTTGACCCACAAGCAGCCATAGTCACAGGGCCACACACATTTATGTAAAAGTCATACTCCTCTGTCTCAACTTTATAGTCACCGGTTTTCTTTGTGAGAGGTGACAAATCAAAAGAAAACCCTAGGCAAGAACAGAAAAGATCAAAGTATGTGAGGTCAGTAGCGCCCAGTTAGCAAGGTGACTTCACGCCCACAGCTCAAGAGACATTCTTCCAGCAACAAAGATGCTTTTCACCCTCAGGCTACCGGAGCTGTGATTACTAGTGTTCTCCTCAGACACTATTCAACCCCTTTTACTGTGTGAACTGAAAAACTCTACTCAAAGTCCATAATTGCAGGTTTAATAAACAACCAGCAGGTTCAAAGCTCATGAGATGACCACAATACAATGGCCTCCTTGTAAAATATCCCGAGGGCAGGTTTCTTTGCTAGAATGCACAGGTGAAAAACCTTTCCAAACACGACTTATTTCCTTGTGTTGCTCAGGTGTGCAGCTCAGAGCTTATCTGCACAGCAAATTGAGTGAGCAACTCCACTATCTCCAGGCAGCCCTCAGCTGCAGAGTTTCAGGGTTCTGATCAAACAGTATGTGTGCCGTTCTAAAGGAAGTATCTCTGAAACATTCCTAAGTGTGTTTAAGGGAAAAGAAGGAAATAAGCATTGCAGGTGACACCAGGGGACACTCACCAGCCTGGGCATCGAGGACTGTGCAGTTCTCGCCCTCGGTCCTGGCCAGCACGCAGGCGGCTGCTGTGTGCCACTCAAACTCATAGAAGCAACCCATGTCCCCAAAACTGCTCAGCACCGGAGGACTTTCCAAATCACCTGTCGGCAAGGGGCGGGAATTCTTTCTCAAAAAGTTGGAAATAGAAATGCCCTTTGACCCAACAGTTCCACTACTGGGAATACACCCTAAAGAAACCAGAGCTGCCATCCAAACAGATGTGTGCACACCCACGTTTATTGCTGTTTTATTTACAATAGCAAAGAGATGGAAGTAATCCAAGTGTCCATCAAAAAACAAATGGATACAGTTTTAATCCACTAGATGCTCTACTGGAGAAAGAGGGACCATCTCCTCCGGTACCAGTCAGATCCAATTTGACAGTACACACACACAAAATAATAAAATAAAATAAAAAACAAAAACAAAAAAACCCACAACAAATGGATAGAAAGACTATGGTACATTCACACAATGGAGTATTACGCAGCACTGAAAAATAATGAACTTGTAAACAACAGAAGGAGGAGCCTGAAGGACATTATGTTGAGTGAAACACCTCAGTCACGAAAGGACAAATACTGCATAACATCATTGTTATAAAACAGGATGGGCACGGGGTTCAGAAGGGCAGAACAGGAAAAGTGTGGATGGATAATGAACACTGCAGGAATAGATGATTAGGCATTAATATGCATGACAACAATCTGGAACAAGGGATGCACTGCACAATGGGCTAGTGAGGTCTGGGGAAGAAAGTGTGCAACAATATCATAAATATTAAAAAAAAAATCCATCACTAACCCACCTCTGACTTGCCCCTTCTCACTCTGTAAAAAGGCAGAAACTTGTCCTTCTTGGAGTCCTCTGTGAGGCAGAGAACCCGTGAGTCAGAGAGCACAACCCTCTACAGGACTGGTGTGGTCGTACTCTGGGGAAGCAGGTCACCAGGCCTCTCCTTCCCAGCACTGCTGGGCGGGTTTGAACTACCGACCTTTACATCAGCAGTCAAGCCCCGACTCTTTGTTCTACCCAAGGCCCTTTGTTCAGACGCTGCTCAAAGTAGACTTGGCAGAAGCAGCAGGAGATTAAGTGAAACGTGTTGAAGGACAAAAGAAATGGCCACATTCTTGTCCTCATCCACAGCTCGGGATTTAAAGGACACAAATCAAGGGGATGAGGGAGGGGGTGGTGGCGAAGTGGTCGCCAAGGCTCCTCCATGCGGTGCAAATGACCTACTGCTCTTATTCCAACAACTGGGCTGTTTGAAGACAGCAAGACCACAGCCTACCAACACACACGTCCCCCCAGAATACACATCAACACGAACTGTGAACACTCAAGAGCACCCACAGAGCCTGGCACTGTCCCCTCAAAGAGCGCGGCTGGCAGGCTCATCCTCTCGGGCACCACAGACGGCTCACGCCCATGTGATGGCCTGATGGCCGCCTCAAGTGGAAACTCACGACCCTGGAACGCACAGCAACAGACGAGGACAGCTGTGAGCGTGAGGTGACCATGTGGTTTAAGGCCGCTCATCGTGGGCCCTTGAAGAACTTACAAATGTGTGCAGACCAGACTGTCAAAACAAGTCACACCTGGGCACAGGTAAGTGCACATGACCATGGCGTGAAGGGACGCGGCGCCCAGAAAGCAAGAGGACCACTGGCATTGCTCGAGATGGGCTTTCCCCGCCTTTCGGAGGGAATCAAGCGGCTCATGCAGCTTACACTACATCCTGAGGAAGGGACGCCCATCTGACCCTCAGCCATTCTGGAAAATGACTCTGAAACTCCCCTTGGGGCACAGGGCTGGGGAGCGAGGGGCTACAGGATGAGACAGCTGGCTGTTCCCATCACCAAGGATGCAGAGCCCAGACTGCTGGCCCCCCTGCCACCTGGCTGCCCGCTGAATGAGAGAGAAGAGACAGGGGGAGAGTGAAGGTGCCTGATTTGTACCTGGCTTGCACACAAGTGTGATGTTGGTTCTGATCTTCTTGCCACGCCCACAATCGTCCCCTTCAGCGTAAGAAAGACGAATGTTTTCTTTGTCTCTTATGGGAGCTGAAACAAATCTTCCCAGATTTTTAGTCCTTCTATTCTTATCTGGAAAGGGGGAGGGGGGGAGAGAAGACAGTTAAAAATGGTCATGGCCCAGCTGCAGAAAGCTGCTCCTGCCCAGTCCACTCGACTCCTGGTGGCTCAGCAGGTCTGACAGCTGACTCTTCCGAAGCAGACCACCTGTCCAAGGTAACTCCAGGTGGGCTCCAACCTCCCACCTTCCACTTGGCAGCCCAGCCCTTAACCGTGTGAACCATCCAGAGTCCCTCACTCAGATGAGGTGGCATCCATGTCAGCCAAAGCCCCTCCTGGGCACCATGACCCATGTCCACACAGACAGCCGTGACAGGAAGCGGCCTTCCCTGATGGCGTGGAGAGCAGGGCTCCCAGGCCACCTCCAGTGCCCACCGGCACATACGGGTCTCCATGGGCACAGGAGGAGGGGGCGGGAGTGTGCTGTAACTGGATGCCCCATCTTCAGGGGGCTCTACCACCCCGAGACACAAGTGTTTCAAAAAGCACAACCCAGGGATTAGAGTGGCCCTAGGAACAAAGCAGGAAGTAGCCCAACCTGTCCAGCAGGCCAGCCAGGGGGGACACTTAACACTCTGACCAGGGCTTTTTCACTCTCAAATAAAAAACTCTGTTCAAAAGTCCTTTTTAAAAAAAAAAATAGCAATATATGATTGGGTTATTATGGTTATGACAAGAGTTCAGAATGAAGGCTGCATAGTGGACTGGACTTGAAGGGAGGGATTGTATAACAAGGAAAGAATTTTTCTTTTACTTTTCAAAGAGAAGAGCGAACTGAGGGGGAGGAGTGGGCAAGGAGAAAAATGCAACAATGAATGAATGGAAATCCAAAATCTCTGTAAATGTTCATTAAAATTAATAAAATTTTTTAAAAAAGAAAAGAAAGAAGTAGGGCTTTTTAAGCTCTTAACTATGCTTTTTAAAAGTTCATGTTAAGAACGCCTTCTGTTTTTTAAAAAAAAGGCCTCCACGAAAGGAGGCCTCAGCTCTGAGGACCTGGGCTCACACGTAAGGCCTAGAGACCATCCGTCCATAACTGACGTGCGTGGCACACATTACCCACTCAGCCCCTGCCATTTCCAGAGTGAGGCTGAAACGACACCTCGCTGCGTGCTGAGGATCTATTTCCAACCGACCAAGTCAGAACACAAGAGGTGCACACGGGCCATGCATACTTCGAGCAGGACCGTGTGGTGAGACACCATTGACCTGAAGCCCTAATCGTGACAAAGTCCAGGCAGCCGTTGGTATCGTTCGTTCCCACTGAGTGGTCGGTGGCTCACAGCAGGAATGGACGGCCACCCAGAGGTGCAGAGCCCACGGGCTCCCCAGAGTGTCCAGGACAGAAAATCTTCACAGAAACAGACGGTCTCACTGTCCTCCTTCGGACTAGCTGGTGGGTTTGTACCACCAACCTTTATGCTTAACAGGTGACTGTTTTAACTACTGCTTCACCAGAGCTCTTTCTACACCATCCCAGGACTCTTTAAAGACCTCAAAACATCAGGGCTGGCGCTGGGATTCACTGGGTTATGAAATGCAAAGACCATCAGATTCATCCCAATGTGCTGCTTTGTGGAACCAGCTGCCCTCAGTCACTGGCTCTGGTCAAAGCTCAGCAGAGCTGAAGGGCTACACTTTGCAAAGGACAGAAGTGGTTTTTCCTACAACTGTATCCCTTATGTGTTGGACACGAGAGGTGGTGGCTCGGAGGAGCCACAGGAAGATCCTACGCTTCTCCCCAGGCTGGGTGGGCTGGGTGCAGGGCCGCTGGTTGGCTGTATGGCCCCCAGGGCTGGGTGCATGGCCCCAGGCTGGGTGCAGGGCCGCTGGTTGGCTGTATGGCCCCCAGGGCTAGGTGCATGGCCCCAGGCTGGGTGCAGGGCCGCTGGT